CAGAAAAATTCATAACTGCCAATTGCATTCATTCTTACTTGTCTTAGCAATTCACCCATGTAAGATTTTGGATGAGACTAAAAGTACTGGGTAAAATAAAAATTCTAAGAACAACTAAGGAGTTTTCCTCATTCAGTTTAATTACAACATAAAAAAGATCCGTGAACATGAGAGAATTAAATTAAGATAGATCTATCTATCTATCTATCTATCTATCTATCTATATATATATATATATATATATATATATATATATATATATATATCATTTGTTTATCTCTCTTTATTGTATTCTGTTCACATCTATCTATCTATCTATTCCAGTCTGATCATTATTATCCATCTATCTATCTATCTATCTCTGTTCATATCTATCTCGACCTGTTCATTATCTATCTATCTATCTATCTATCTATCTATCTATCTATCTATCTATCTATCTCTGTTCATATCTATCTCGACCTGTTCATTATCTATCTATCTATCTATCTATCTATCTATCTATCTATCTATCTATCTATCTATCTCTGTTCATATCTATCTCGACCTGTTCATTATCTATCTATCTATCTATCTATCTATCTATCTATCTATCTATGTTCATTTCTATCTGTCTAGCTACCTCTATTCATTTCTGTCTGTCTGTATATCTATCTATCTATCTATCTTCCTCTCTGCTGACCATCATGCTTTTTTATGCGTCGCGTCCTTTCAGGGCGTAGACGATCATGGCTCCCCACTCCCCTCTATCCCTTGTGGTTCTCAATAAGTTTCGTGTTTCTGCCGACTCCCCCAGACCACGTTCTGCCATCCACTTGTTTAAACCCGCTAGGTATGTCATGCGTTGCTTTCCCTTGTGTTTTTCCCTCCACTCGCCTTGTGAGTAGCAGATTCTCCAAGCTCCCTTTCTCGATACGTGTCCTAGAAATTTCACCTGTCTCTTCCTTATATTAAGTATAAGTTTCCTTCTTGTTTGTAACCTCTCCAAGACCTCATTGTTGTTCACACTCTCAGTTCATGACATTCTTAGCATCCTTCTGTGGAACTACATCTCCACTGTCTCGAGTTTCTTTTTCATCTTTGAGAAGACCGTCCAACATTCGCTGCTGTATGAGAGGATAGATGTCACGGAACAGCTCGGTCTATGATATCCTTAGCATCCTTCTGTAGAACCATATCTCTGTCGCCTCGAATCTCTTCTTCATCTTTGAGGAAGTCATCCAACATTCGCTGCTGTAAAAAAGGACATATGTCATGTAACAGTTCAGTATTCTTTTCTTTGTTACCAAAGAAATCCTCCTGTTTCGCAGTAGTCCGCCCAGCTTTTGAAATGTGTCCTTGGCCATCCCAGTATGTCTATGAATCTCAGTGTCGCAATTACCGTCCTCTGTCAAGACGCTTCCCAGATATTTAAACTTCCGCGCCTGCTTAATTTCAGTGTCCCTGATCTTCAAATCGCTTTTCGGTCTTAGCCTTTTATTGATATATATTACTGGAATATATTAGTTTGAGCAATACTTGACCGGCGGCGAGATCTCATCAATTTACTGTTGACCTAACTAAATGTAGCCGTAACTTGTACGCTTACAGTTTCTTTACTCGCACTCCTTGCTCATGATACTTCCGGCTCGATGCTCTCCTGCCAACCTTAATCTGCAAAAATTTAAATATAATGTCAATTGTTATCTACTGTCCTCCTGATTACTCTTTTCTCTTTTTCAGTCAGTTATGTGCCATGCGTGATACATGTATCGTTTGATAACGAGGCAGATTTTTTGATTGCCATTACTTTCTGCGGTAGACCAGTTGCCATAAAAGGCTAGAGAACCCGGTCTGTCCTGTTAGTTACCCATAGCTTGGAGAGAATAAGAGGATTCATACCTTTCCCAAGAATATTAGCACGTAAGTGAATGTAATGGATTCGACTGGAATACGAACTCGGCTCTCCGATTCCTCAATCCGAGCCACTATACATTACTCTGCCGTGCTTCCTCATTACTAATGTTTCTGTTCCTAATTCTTCTACACCCTGTAACCCCTCGCATGTTAGTGGCTGTACTAAAAAAATCAATCTATCTCTGTTCATTACTATCTGTCTGTCTGTCTGTCTATCTATCTAAATCTGTTCATTTCTTTCTATCTATGTCTCTTCATTTATTTATTTCTTTCTTTCTTTCTTTCTTTCTTTCTATCTATCTATCTATCTATCTATCTATGTCAGTGATTGTAAACGTGGTCCAGCATTTCTAATTGTCCACAGAGAATTCGTAGCCATAAAGAAATTTTAGCCATTTCACAAAAACTTATCTAAATTATTCATGTTTAATTACACACGTTCATTATATTTGAAAATTTCGAAATTACGCAGGTATTTTTATTGAACAGCCTAAAAATAAAAGTAGGAGGATCCATTTGAATTTTTTTAGAAAAAATTCTCCATGGCTGAAAAAAAGGTTGCGAAGCACTGATCGATGTTCATTTGTTTCTATCCGTCTATCAATCAATATATATATATATATATATATATATATATATATATATATATATATATATATATATATATATATTAATTTCTTCCTATCTATGTATCTATGTTCATTTTATCCCTCTACCTACCTACCTACTTACTTACTTACCTACCTACCTATCTATCTATCTATCTATCTATCTATCTATCTCAGTCTGTTAATTTCTATCTATCTAGCTAGCTAAGTAGTGAAATCTATCTATCTATTTTAGTCTATTCATTTCCATCTTTCTATCTATCTCTGTAAATGATAACTAACAGTTATTTTTTATCAAAACAAAGATATCTCACATCAACTTGAGGTTTTATCTTTACTTATATTTTTACGTAAGCCCGCTCGGCTGGTGCGTGCCATTTGTTGAACTACTAATAGACAGCAGATCTAAAAATTATTATAAAATAATTCATTTTTGATTTCACCAAAAGTTATCTCTATGTGGATGTGCGGTGGCTTAATGGACAGCGGCCCGGAATAAGAAATCAGAGTGCTGAGATCGAATTCCAGTCGTGTTCATTAAATTCACTAACGCGTAGATGCCGTCAGGAAATGAATGAATCCATCTATTCTCCCCACCTATAGGTAAATAGCAGGAGGACTGGGCCCTCTAGCCTTGGTTGGCAACAGGTTTAGGAGAAGGAAAACTCTGAATCCCAAGTAGTTTGGAGAGAGTTGCTTTCCGTCATGCTATCTTCCCCGAGATCAGTCATTCTCAACCTTTCGTCCATCACTGACCGCCCCCACTCGGCTTTATGTATTTCTCCATTTATCCCCCCCCACTCCCATACAAAAAATTCATAGCCAGCATAAAGCATTGATGTACAATTTCGTGACTAAATGAATGAATGATTTTTTCATTCAAAATACTAAGGGGTTTTTTTTTTAGTCAAAATACTGTGCCTAAAAGAAAATACTAAGCGACACTCAAAATACTGATTTCTTATTTAGTACTAATCTACTAATTTTTTTAGTATAAGTTAATACTCTGTATAAAATTCAGTATTTTTATTAACGCTTGTAGTCATTAATAAAATATTATTCATTTTATCCGCTGTATTAGTAGATCTACAAATTAATACTAATCATAATCATTCATTCAAAAAATTTTTTTTATTTTTGTTTTTTGGCAATTTAAAAATTTTTGGAAAATACTAAAAAAATTTTTTTGAATGAATGATTATGATTAGAACTGACTAATTTGTGACTAAAAATTGTGCAAATTAGTCATTAGTAAAAATACCAAAACAGAAATAAAAAATATTGATAAATACTAAAAAGTAGTAAAAATTCAGTATTCTGATCAAAAATTAGTAATCCATCATTCATTTGTAGATCATTGTCATAAAGTGACAGAAAAACAAGAAGGTCAGAAAGAACCTTTTTATTGTTTAGGACTTTAGGTTTTGTATAAAAATAGTATTATACATTGGTATCAAAAAAAAAAAGAAGAAAATCAAACCTTTTCTAAATAGAAAATTATGAAGTTAATTTGTATTATAAAAAATAATGAACAGAAACATCAGAAGCATTATCAGTGGGAAAACTGGTGATTCATTGAGTCAATCAGTTTGTTTATACGAGGAGCTGTTTCTGATAATGCTACTCTCATGTCATCGTCGGCTTTCAGGCGTTTTTTTTTTTTTTATTATCAATTATTTACCCCCGACTATATAATTTTTTACCCCCTGGGGTAAATTTACCCCTGGTTGAGAACATCTGCCCTAGATGAACCACTGCTGCAGAACATGTTGTGCCTCTACGATTCAAATGGGTTGCTGGACTCGTGATCGAAAATCTATCTGCCTTTTTCTATACAAATTTTATTGAACAGAGATATTGTTTTTGTTTATTTGTTTAACGGCATATAAACTCCATATGAGTCCTTTAAGGATGCAATTTTATTTTATGGGGAGCAGTATTCATTTCTTTTACAAAAAATGTATTGTCGGTATTTTTTCTTTTATAAAAATGTATTGCTAGTATTTGTTTTTTTTTTTTTAAATTCTATTGCGGGTAATTTATTTTTGTTACAAAAATGTATCATTCTGGCTTCTATTTACTCTCAATTTACCTTGTGCCACACTAAAGAATCCTTCATATTTATAAATATCCAGACATTCAGTATTTGAAAAAAACAAAAAAAGAGTGTTAATTCTAAGGAATCTTTACGCTCACTTGCCTCAAAGCGTGGCATTGTGGTTAGACCTTTTAATTGATAACCCCTGACCTTTCTTTGTAAAACCTACTTTTAGAAAACCAAACGTTTTCGAAAGGAACACTGATCCTAGGGAAGATTAAGTTGCCCCCCATTAACTTCTCAAAACTTTTCTCTTTTGTTGACAGTAACTGAAAGTGAAAAAAAACGGCATCATATTTTCATTATTCCTCCCACCACCAAAAAAAAACGGTCGCCAAATTATTAATTTTGAAATATAATAACTTTGAGCATTCGTCAACTTTAAGCGATCGTCTCGGGTGGACGGAGTTGTTTGGCTTACGATGATTGATTAGTGAAAGTTTTAATTGGCATAAAACTTTAGGTTTTAATTTGGTACCGACGAAATATGAAACCGCTGCCTCTTTTGTTCCTTAAAAAAATAACCGCCTTTAGACTTTGTGCTAAATCCTATATTAAACATGTTTTGTCAAATCAAAATATTTGGTCCTGGGCATGACGATAGAATACTTCCGGTTACAAGGCCTCTGATCAGGAGGTTTTGAGGGGTATGTAACCACCTCTTAATTGCTATTGTTCCGAGTGCCACCCTAACCTGGTGTAGTAGCACCTGTTAGGGTAATACCTATGATCAAATAGTGAACGTCCAAATAAAAATCAAAACGCTAGGAAAGTATAAAAATACATTTTTTGTAGTAAAAATAGCAGCAATACATTTTTATAAAAGAATTACCAGCAATGTATTTTTTTAGTAAATTATCCACAATACATTTTATAGCAAAATGACCAGAAATACATTTTATAGCAAAATAACCAACGATAAATTTTATAGGAAAATTACGAACAATATATTTTATAATAAAATGATCAGCAATACTGTTGTAATCTAGGAAAGGTTACTGAATAGAATAATCAAACGAAGGTTGGTAATAAACGATAATACATATAAGAATAGCACATATAAGATTCGCCAGCGGCGCGTAGAAGTAGTCAACTGCTAGAAATAAGTGAATTCCACAAGGAATCTTTAACTGCAGGATATCTACCAACCGCCCGAGGCGGTCAGATGTGACAATAGGCCGAATTTAATGTGCAATATCCGAGCCCGTAGACTCGGCCAAAAATTCCTCGTAGACCTCCTATGAAACGTGGTTGGGTAGCTGTTTTCCGAGACGAGACTCTTCCCTTCGACATAGCCTCGTCTGGGGATCCTTCTCTGCCTTCGGGCAGAGAGTTTGGCCAGCACAGCTGAAAACGAATCTCTAACTACAGATCAACATACAGTATTTACTACTGTATTTATGTGAATGGGGATATGCTACAGCAAATACATTTTTATAATAAAATAACCAACAATACATTTTTATAGTAAAATGACCAACAATACATCATGTGTGTTACTTACTCTACAACACTTAGTAAATATCATCCCTTTTTTGAACATAGTAGACTGGCGCTACGGATTCACAAAACACTGTACCAAATAAGAGAAACAACATAAGGAAGACTCTGACAGGTTATCTATTCCCCCAGGAAGCTAAAGAATGCTAAAGTGACCTGCTGTATATGAATGCGGTCTCTCGTCCATTGAATAGGGACGTGAATGATTTCAATGACAATTCTAGCTTCTTCTTTTTTAAAGCATTTCACCCCAAACAATGCGGGAAGCCACTAGCACGCCAGGAGTTACAGAGAGTTGGAGCGAGAGCAAATAAGATTGATTGAGAAAAGTATGAAGAGAAGGATAGATCAAGGCATCTGGAGACGTCGATTGACATTACATTTGAATAATTGGAGATTATAGCTATCAGGGAAACAGGAAAAGGGGAGGTGGTTCCACAGGCGAGAATTGCGAGACATGAAGCTATTGGCGTAGAAAAGACAGCTATATATTTAACAGTTTCGACAGTGAAAGGGTGAGAGCCAGATGCCAGCCTAGTTGAACGCTTAAATTCATGAAGTCTGGGAACCAGCGCAAGCAGCTCATCGGAGCAGTTACCGTGAATATATTTGTTAAAAAAGACAGCGGGAGGCGACGGCACGTCTGTGAGAGAGGGACTGCAGACAAGATGCTAGATCAGGGCCAATCACATTGTATATCCGTCTCTGGTTCTTATCAAGGACCTTGAGACAAACAGAAGGGGCTCCAGACCATATATGGCCGCAAATCTGATCAATGGCATCTTGCTAGAATTATCATTAAGGGACTGTGGTTGGCCATCGAGCTATCCACAATGAGTGTTAATGCCCTCGATTGAGTCCATGCATGACAATGTAGATCGAAGGATGTCAAATATCCCCATAGTGTTAAAAATGGTATGTGCTAAACGTCTTGCACTCTTTACTATACCCCCTTAGAATTCTATTCATTTGGTCTTGTTAGATTACAATTGATATAGGTTTGTGCATTCTCATGACGTTAAAGTACAATGCCGCTCATCTAAAATTTACTTTACATAGTGCTATCACGTGATATTGCCCCATCTCTATTTCTCTTTCTTCTCCCTCTCTTTTTTCCTTATCTCTCTTCCCCCTCTTTCTTTCCCACTCTCTCTCTCTCTCTCTCTATTTGATGCGAGGGATAAATACTGAGCCATAATTAGACGTATAGATAGATGTAAACAAACTTAGATGTGATCAGAATGAGATAGAGAAATATGAACAGAGATTGATGTGATCAGACTGAGATAGATAGATAGATAGATAGATAGATAGATAGATAGATAGATAGATAGATAGATAGATATGAACAGATGTGACCAGACTGATAGATAGATGGGATCAGACTGAGATAGATATATATGAACATAAATAGATAGATAGATAGATAGATAGATAGATAATGAACAGACTGAGATATATACTCTTTTATAGTTTTAATATTGAATAACCCGGTGATTTTTATAAAAGCCTTTTACAGTTTATCTCCAAACATTTTATCTCATTATAATTTCTTTCTTTTATGTGCCGTGTCCTTTCAGGACGTGGGCGACCATTGTTCTCCACTTCTCCCTATCCATTGTAGCCTTCGTTGCTTACCTTTGTCTCTATTTCCCTCTATTCGACCTGTGAGTATCAGATTCTCCAGGCCCTCCTTTCTCATTACGTGTCCCAGAAACTTCAACTGCCTCTTCTATGATGTTAAGTATAAGTCTCTTCCTTGTACACGCCTTTAAATGGAACTGATAAGATATGTTTTCTTATGAAAAACACAAGATATTTTCACAGAGATTTTAATATAAGATGAGAATTTCTTTCCAGATCAGAAACAGCAAATCTGAGAAAAAAGAGAACGGGCGAATAATTTGCTTATTCTTCTTTTTATACATACACCATATGTCGTCGAACTATTATAACTTTCAATTTTTCTTTTGTAATTGCCTTTCATTACTTAATGAAAGGATGACATTACTTGGATGACATATACGAACCACAAGCATATATGGTTTTCCTACCAATTTTACAGCAGGGAGTATTAAGAAAAAATGTATGCTTCATCGAATATTACTCAAATTTCATCCATCTTCCATATTTGGCACATTTCAAAATAGAGTTTCTTTTTGTGTACATATTTCAAATTTATGAAATTTTAATATTTTGTTAAAAAAAAAAAGAAAAAGATGAAACTTTATCTATTTGTTCTTATTTTTTTGGCATTCTTTCTTTATTATTTTCTTTCTTTCTTTCTTTCTTTCTTTCTTTCGTTCTTTGTTTCTTTCTCCTTCAATCACTTCTTTCCTCCTTCGATTTTCTTTAATCAATTCATTCCTTGGTTCGTAGACACTCGTTTTTTTGTCTTTCTTACACTTTCTCAATTTTGTCATCTATGTATTTGTTGCTGTTCCATTTGCTTTCTATCTATCTATCTATCTATCTATCTATCTATCTATCTATCTATCTATCTATCTATCTTTCTTTCTTTCTTTCGTCTTTATTTCTTTCTTCCTTTTTGTCTTTGTATTTGTTGCTGTTCCCTTTCCTTTCTATCTATCTATCTATCTATCTATCTATCTATCTTTCTTTCTTTCTTTCTTTCTTTCTTTCTTTCGTCTTTCTTTCTTTCTTTCTTCTCTTTTGTCTTTTTATTTGTTGCTGTTCCCTTTCCTTTCTATCTATCTTTCTTTCTTTCTTTCTTTCGTCTTTATTTCTTTCTTCCCTTTTGTCTTTGTATTTGTTGCTGTTCCCTTTCCTTTCTATCTATCCTACTTTCTTTCTTTCTTTCTTTCGTCTTTATTTCTTTCTTCCCTTTTGTCTTTGTCTTTGTTGCTGTTCCCTTTCCTTTCTATCTATCTATCTATCTATCTATGTATCTATCTTTCTTTCTTTCTTTCCTTCGTCTTTCTTTCTTTCTTTCTTCTCTTTTGTCTTTTTATTTGTTGCTGTTCCCTTTCCTTTCTATCTATCATTCTTACTTTCTTTCTTTCGTCTTTATTTCTTTCTTCCCTTTTGTAAAAAATAGTACTCAATGTAAATTTACAGAGCATTAATATTATAAATTAACCGATTTAAAATATGTTTTTCGCTACACAGTTCTAACCATGTTTCAAAATATATTTCTAGATTTATTTCTTCATTTCCATTTTTGAAAAAAAGTTAGAACTATGCAGCGAAAAAACAATATTTTCAATCAGTTAATATATATATATATACATACACACACACACACATATATATATATATATATATACATAATAAGTAGGAGGATTTGATAAACATATAAATGAATAAATTCATTGAGTCCGATATAAATCTCAACTGAAAAATAGAGGAAGCACTGGACGGCCGTTTCGTCCTATAATTGGGACTCATCAGCAGTGCGCATCCACCACCAGATATCGAAACCCTGACAGCTGGGTTGTCAAGCCGACAACATACCAACTGTACCAACCGGGCCTCGACACCGAAGAGAATCATATCAGACCCACATAGCGCCACTCACTCACATATTCCGTGGCAGAACTACTCCTGAGTTCAATATATAACCATAAGACTGTGCCTCCTGCATTTGCTTAAATACTTGTATCTATGAAATAACAACGTTAAACATAAAAATATGTCTTTAATAAATATATATATATATATATATATAACTATGACCCTAAAGAGCCAGGCAGACCTACTTATGTTTCACTTATGCGAATCGTCAGGGTACACTGGCCAGCGTACCCTGACGATCCGCATAAGTGAAACGTAGATAGGTTTGCCTGGCTCTTTAGGGTCAGAGTTAGACTTCCTCTACTTAGTGTATTGAGCACTTTGCTTAGTTATTTTTGCTTCACTCGTGTTGGAGGTTTTTTCTTTGGATTCTGAACGATTTCGCCTCAATTTCATGTTCTTAGTTCTTTCTTTTGTTATTCCTTATTTTTCCTTCGGTATTGGTTTGTTCATTTACAAGCCAAAACACCTGTTTCTTTTCCGGACGAGTATAATTACTTATATATATATATATATATATATATATTAAGAAATGGACAAGGTCCGACAATTTATTTATTAAAGACATATTTTTATGTTTAACGTTGTTATTTCATAGATACAAGTATTTAAGCAAATGCTCTATTTAAATAAACAGTATTAAATAAATTTACCGGCCTGTCTACCCGATTGGTTTTTTCATATAGAAAATTTTTCAGCATATATGAACGGTTCCTGCATCCTATAGGTTCGAATCTTATACAGGGAAGAAACGAAAAATTTTGTCTACAAAAATTTCTCGACATTCAGGCAAGGTAAATGTTATTTAATACTGTTTATCATAAACAGAGCATTTGCTTAAATATTTGTATCTATGAAATAACAACGTTAAATATAAAAATATGTCTTTAATATATATATATATATAGAGAGAGAGAGAGAGAGCGAAAGAGAGATAGATAGATAGATAGATAGATAGATACTCAATGATATATATAGATTCAATGAATTAATTATGATTATCTCAAATCCTGCTTAATTTCTATGTTTCTATATCTTTACTTGAACCAGATTCTAATGCTCTGGATGGAACGGCTTGTGAATAGTAGTCGTGGCTTGTCGGGGCACAGTCCTATGAGTAAGGGAAACTTGAATACAGAAATAGAAAAGTTTAATCTGATAGAGATTAACATCGTATTTAAATAGAGCCGGAAGGGAGTTCCACAAACGAAACCTGCAAGGAAAGAATCTGTTAGCATAGAACTTACGGCTACATATCGCCAACTCTACTATAATTTGCTGAGATCTTTAATATCTAGTTCCCCGTGCCATGCCTTATCTGGCTATCTCAGTTTCAGTAATTTCCCTTTAGTAACTCAACACTCCAAGTTGTGTCCCCAAATATACGTTGGATTTTTTTTTAACCAAACACTTTATTTAGTCCACGGGGATAGATTGTTCTTGTTCCACATGCCATGCCTTATCTGGATATCTCAGTTTGAGTTATTTCCCTTTAGTAACTCTACTCTCCAAGTTTTTGTTCACCTCTACTATGGCCAGGTATTAAACTCGAAACTCAATTCTTCTGGATTATTTCAACGAATGCTTTTATCCCCTAGGCCATGCGACAGAAACATCGCAAATATGACAATAAATATGAGGACAATAGTACAAACAATGTAAATAGTTACAAGACCCCATTTCAGAAATATAGACAAATAAATATTTGTTGATCAGCGCATTCAAAGTTTTATATTTTGCTATTTTCGTCTTCCACCATGTTTTTTAGTCCAGATTTAATTTAAGCTGACTTTTTGAAGGTTGTTTTCAATATTTACTCTTTTTTCTTTTTGTCTCTCTTTATATTTAAAATCAAATGTTTTATTCCGTTTCTTATAAAAAGCGATTGCAAAATGTTCAACCTTACTATTTCCTTCGTTCGTTGAACAAAAGAGGGGTTTCTTTTAAATAAAATCGGAAATCCATTGAGATATTCCACAATCATTGAACACTGAACGCCAGCGACGGCTCAACAAGACAGTTAGCAAAGAGAGCCCATTAACCGGAAGTCGACTAAGCTATGCTTTTAATAACCGGAGTGAAGTCTTTGTTGTATTAATTTAAAACCGCTGGGGGTGTTTCTTGAACATCTGATTCTTTGCTTTCATTCTTTTCAAAGACATTGATATATTTGAAAACGAAAATTCTGATGTTTAGTAATTTGGGTTAAATGAGTGATGCATTCTATTGACCTCTGACCTTTTCTGAAATAAATATATTCAACAGAAAAATATTAAGGAATTATTAAATGATTTTTTACGACGTTATCTACAGCTTTGAAATGAAGAATTTACAGATATTTGGTCAGTGAGTGGCACGATCAAAAAACCACTTCGAATAAATTCATGACATCATGAAGATATTTTATCTCAATTGTTTGTTTTTTACCAAAATTTCACCCAATTCAATGCTCGAGAGCCATTCAAGCTAGATTAGTTATAGTTGAAATAATAAAGATGAATGAGGTGGGTAATATGAATGAAACAGAAGCTGGTAGGAAGCGAAAATTACAAGAATAAGAAGGACAGATGATGGTTGACCCATGACTTGAAGAGGTCTATCACACTTTTGTTCCTCTATCTCCCTCTACGCTCTCTCTCTCTCTCTCTTTCTCTGTGTGTGTGTCAGTCTTTTCATATCTATCTCTCACATTTAGTTAATTAGCTATCTATCTATCTATCTATCTATTCCATTTTGTGCATTATCTATCGCCCTCTGTCCATTTTCTCGCACTCTCTGTTTTTTCATATCTATTTATCTCATTTTTGTTCATTATCTCCCTCTTTCTCTCTCTCTCTCTCTCTCTCTCTCTGTCAGTCTTTTAATATCTATCTATCCTATTTTCTCATTATCTCTATGTGTTCATCTCTCTCTCACTCCTTCTATCTATCTATCCATATATATATATATATATATATATATATATATATATATATATATATATATTGAAAATTATAACATAATGCTGATCACTTGATAAGACACCAGAAGTTTTGAAACAAAATGGCTATCTTTGTAGTGATTTTATAAAATATTTATGTTATAATTTTCCAATAAATTATATTTGCTCTATTTTGTATTGAGCTCTCTTTGAAGAATAGTATTTTTTTTTTTTTTTTTTTTTTTTGTTATTGGAATTTATTCTGTATACACCAATCCTATATTTTGGTATATATATATATATATATATATATATATATATGGTGCTAGGAAATATAAGACAGAAAACAAAGACAGCGATTAAAAAAAACATCTTAGAAACAAATGAATCGAGAACCTCTGAAAAATGCAAAAAGGAAGAAAGTATTTTATTACAATAAGATTTTAAACAACATTAATAAATTAATTGAATAGAAGTACACACGCACATATACATACATATATGTGTGTGTGTGTGTTTGTGTGTGTGTGCGTCTGTTTGTGTGTGTGTGTGTGTGTATTACTGAAACGTCATGTGTTTATGCATAAAATGCCAAGTAATAAATATCTTCTGGTGCTTCGGGCTAAGTAACCTTTACTTTAGAGTTCATAAGTTTATTTTTTGAAAATTATGTCAAAAAAATTACACGTTATTCGCCTAATTTCTATAAGCAGAGGTCGACCTCGAATCAGGATTCTTAGATGAAATTTATGGATTCCTTGCTCAAAATAAAAGGTCGACTTACACACGAGTTCGAGTTATATAATGGCAACATAATAGTCAACAAATATCCGCTGCTTCGCTTTTCTGCGACTTCAATTACACAAACAATTTATAAATTTTACTCTTAATTAAACAATTTATACGTTTTACTCTTAATTGAACAATTTATAAGTTTTACTCTTAATTAAACAATTTATACGTTTTACTCTTTATTGAACAATTTATAAATTTTACTCTTGATTAAACAATTTATACGTTTTACTCTTGATTGAACAATTTATACGTTTTACTCTTGATTAAACAATTTATACGTTTTACTCTTGATTAAACAATTTATAAGTTTTACTCTTGATTAAACAATTTATAAATTTTACTCTTAATTAAACAATTTATAAATTTTACTCTTGATTAAACAATTTATAAATTTTACTCTTGATTAAACAATTTATAAATTTTACTCTTGATTAAACAATTTATAAATTTTACTCTTGATTAAACAATTTATAAGTTTTACTCTTGATTAAAGAATTTATAAGTTTTACTCTTAATTGAACAATTTATAAGTTTTATTCTTAATTAAACAATTTATAAGTTTTACTCTTAATTAAACAATTTATAAGCTTTACTATTAATTGAACGATTAATAAGTTTAACTCTTAATTGAGCAATTTATAAGTTTTACTCTTAATTAAACAATTTATAAGTTTTACTCTTAATTAAACAATTTATAAGTTTTACTCTTAATTAAACTCAGGTTATCACAGACGTGATGTGGCTTCCCTCTGTCTTTTCTACAAATATTTTCATGGCAGCTGCTCTGATGAGCTACTTTCACTGGTACCCCGACTGCATGAATTTAAGCGTGCTACTAGGTTGGCATCTTGGTCCCACCCTTTCACTGACGAAACAGTTAAATGTAACCGCCTCCTCTACGCCAAGAGCTTCTTCTCTCGCATTTCCCGACAGTGGAACTCCCTTCGTCTTACTTGCTTCTCTGATAGCTATAATCTTCAAATATCCAAATGTAATGTCAGTCGACATCTTCTAATGTCTTGATCTTGATCCCCGTCCTTCTCTTTATCCTTTCCTCAAACACCCCCCTCTTTACTCTTGCTCTCACTCTCTGTAACCCCTTGCGTGCTAGTGACACTCCCGCCTTGCTTGGGGTGAAATGCTTTAAAAAAGAATGTAATGATAGAAATTCGAATATGCGAAAAAAAAATGGTCGTAAAGTGCTTCCTTTCAATGAGAAGACGAAAGCTTTCTACTTCTATCAAAGATAAAATGAAATCGCATACTTAAGATTGTCGGAAGAAATCTTTTATCCGGAAATAAAATCTTTTTATCGTATATTGTTATACTTGTTCTATTTTATTATTAGTTATTATTATTAATCTCTTATTTGTCTAATAAAATCTACGGTAAGCACGAATTTTCAATCGAATACATACAGTATATTTTTATAATTGTTTCATTTTATTATCAGTTAGGTAGAATATGACTAAAAATTTAAAATATTTTTGTAGTTGTGGAAAATTTACTAATTACTAAAATCTCTAACCTTGAGTGTTGGAAAACATATTTCTTGTATTTCTGTGAATAACCTCTTCTTAGATATCCTGTATCTTCCTGGCGTCAGTTTAAACTTACGACTTCTTTTTTCCTATATATTGTGGCTATTTTGATGTACGTTCGTATTTTTTTGATGTCAGCTGAAAATTTTTAAACATTCCGCCACATTTCAGTGAAATTTTTCTTTTTCAAAATTATAACTTATTATAATTTCGATAAATGGAAAAAAGGTTTTAACTTAAACTGACGCCTGGTTAAATAGGTAAATGATATATTGAAAAAAGGTTTTAGTTTAAAATGACGCCTGGTTAAATAGATAAGTGATATACTGAAAAAGGTTTTCTGGGGAACTTCGGGGTTAGCAAGCTTGTCTTACGACTGAGTAGTGAGTTCGATCCTCACTGGGTGCCCTATACTTTCGGCCTTGTACCACATCTAAGCTACGAAAGCTTAGAAAGTCATTTAGGGGACCTCGGCGTGGTGTAATGGTTAGCAAGCTTGTCTCGCTGGAGCAATTACGACTGAATAGTGAGTTCGATCCTCTCTGTCTCTCCATACTTTCGGCCTTGTACCACATCTAAGCAGTGCTTAGAAAATCACTATGGAAAAGGTTTCAGTTTAAACTGACGCTTGGTTAAATAAGTGATATATTGAAAAAGGTTTTAGTTTAAACTGACGCCTGATTAAATAGATGGAAATTGTAGATTAAAAAGATCAAAACTAGTCGAAACTAGAAAGAAACTAGACCAAAAACAGATCAATGTTCCAATTAAAAATAAGGTTCTTGTCTAAATAAATCATTAAAACATCAACACGGAAAGAGAAAGTTTTGAAATAAAATCATTAATACTAATCTATTAATGTAGCTAATAAAATCCACATATCTTTTATCCATCACATAATTGCAGTATATTGTTATAACTATTCTATTTTACTATTAGTTATTACTGTTAATATCTTATTTTGTCTAATTTATAATTGTGTATAACATTTATTCATAGGTATGGTTATGTAATAAACAATATATGTATAAATAACGGCATTTATAGAGTTTCGTATTAATTGAGGTTTCAGTTATTCGCATAGCCGTTCTGGAACATAGGTCAGTTACGACTGAAAAGTGAGTTCGATCCTCACTAGGTGACCCATACTTGTGCCACATCTAAGCTACGCTTAGAAAATAACCATGGCCTTTCTGGAACATAATGGCCGCAGATAAGCGTGGACTTATGTATCTACTTCTTAAAAAATATAAAACCGTATATATAAATATATAAATAAATAGTAAAACAAAACTTATTGTATAACATGTCTAATGCAGGAAACATTTTTGTTTTTTTTTTACTAAACAAACATTACAAGTTTTTTTTTCTTTTATAAATCGTCCATGAATGTGGACTGCGTATTGCATGGTGAGCCACAGGCATCATACAATGGACAACCAAAAGCAAGTTTTTCATCGTATGACACATGCCGTGCGTTTTGATAAGCAATAATCAATCTATTGATCAGGAACTCAGATTAATTAAGCAGATTGAGAATCCCTTGCCTACGGTGAAGGGCGAGAGATACAGACCATATTATTTGCATATATATATATATATATATATATATATATATATATATATATATATATGTGTGTGTGTGTGTGTGTGTGTGTGTGTGTGTGTGTGTGTGTGTGCAGAAAAACCTTTTTATTGACAAAGAAGGCGAAATGCGTTATCAATAAGAAAAAGACAAACACATACACAAACACGCACACACACATATATATATATATATATATATATATATATATATATATATATATATATATATATAGAGAGAGAGAGAGAGAGAGAGAGAGAGAGAGAGAGATAGATAAAGATGTTAGGTAGATTTGAGCGGCTATAATTCATTTAAACATGCATTGTTAACAACAATAGCCAATTTGTGTTTGTTATATTTCTTCTTCTATCTGCCGTGTAGCTTCAGGGCGTTGGCGATCATGGCTCTCCATGATTTCTCATCCTTTATAGTTCTTAATAAATGTTGTCTTTTTGTTATCACCTCTAAATCCTGTTCCACTATCCATTTACCTGAACCTCACCAGGTTATGCGTTGTTTTCCTCTGTCCCTCTTGCATTCAATCTGTCCTGTGAGTATCAAATATCAACTGACGTTTTTCGGATATCACACTTTTTCTTTCCATTTTCTCTAAAGCTTCGTCATTGCTCACATGTTCAGTCTATGGTATGCTCAGCATCCTTCTGTAGAAGCACGTTTATATTTATTATTTAATTTATTTAAACGGAAATTGCTTACAGAACACTGTGATATATCAAGTCCCTGTAAAATCAGCAAATAACGAAGAAAGAATATACATAGGAGTAACTACCAGACCCTGGAAACAAAGAAACTACGCACACAAAACATCATTTACAAATAACAAATACGCGAACAGCACAATGCTTCCTAAATATATCTGGGAAATTAAAAACAAAATAAAAATGCCACCAAAAATATAGAAAATAAGTAAAACAGCATCACCCTATAGCAATAAATCCAAAAACTGTAAATTCTCACTAGAGGAGAAAATATCTATAATTAGTTTTCCAGACCAACAAAATT